CCCACCCACGTCTCCAGCCCACCCACCCGCGGACTGTTCAGAGGGGACCCCAGAAGTAGAGGCAGTGCCCGGCCTCCTGCCAGCAGGGAGGCCGAGGGTTGGGAGCAGCCCCTCAGCCTGAGTCAGAGCTGCGAAGCAAACTAGCAAAGCTGACCGGGACTGACCCAGTGTGTTGTTCTGGAATGCTCTCCAGTCCGTACACCGGGGCAGGCTGGCCCCCAGGTGCTCACACAGACGCCAGATGACCTCCGGGGTCAGGCACCTTCATTCCCAGCTCAGGATGAGGAGAGAGACTTGGAAGCACTGACTTGCTTAGTCAGAGCTCAGGCCTGGCAGAGTCTGGATTTGAACGCTGGTCTGTGAAGCTTGGTGCTCGAGTCCAGGAGCCTGCGGCCTAGCAGCCGCTGCTCAAGGCCAGAGGAGCTTTGTCCGGCTCCTCCCTCTGTAAGCCTCGCCCCACCCCCTGCCCTCCCCTTCCACGGGCTGGTGGGACTGGAGTGGGGACCCTCTGGAGGGTGGGGTGTGCCTGGGATCTGTGACGAGGGGGATGCAGGCAGGGAGGAGGGGAGACATGCTGGGCGCCGGGGGCACAGCGGCTCCCTGCCCACCCCTCCCCGCTGGTTGTGGATCAGTCTCTGCAGTGGAAAGGAGCCTCTGGCTGTGATTTTTTTTTAACCACTTGATCACGATCAAGGATTTAATTTTATCCCCTCCCCTGGCTGGCTCGGGTTCTATTTGGAGTTTAAGCACCAGGAGAGGAGGAGGGTCCCTCAAAGACAGGACTCGTACCCCCAGGCTCTGGAGGCCCCTCCCTGCCCATCCAGCCAGAGACAAGGTCCATCTGGGGCACCCACTGGCACAAGGCACGTCCCCGCCCCTCCCAAAGCAAAGCCGCTTAGCTGAGGAGCGGTGGGGTGGGGCGGAGGCGGCTTCCGCAGGCTTCTACGGGGATCTCAGCTCTTTCATCCTCCTGGAGAAGGCCTTTAGCAAGCACCTGATTGGACCTGGGACTGCAGACAAGCCTGGCTTTGAATGACTTATAAGCGAGAGGGTGGGGGCAGGGACAGCAGCATGCAGCTTCAGGGGCACCATCTGTGCCGACCGCCCACTGTGGGCAGGTCAGCGGCTGAGGCTGTCCCTGTGCATGAGCTCGTCCACTCTAGGCGGCAGCCTCAGAGGGGAGAGGCCCTTGTCTTCCATTTTTCCAATGCTAGATAATTTGCCCCAAACCACACAGCGACCAGGCGGCAGATCCCAACCTATATCCTGCCAGGAGGCCTCCAGAGTTCCCTCTGTCACCACAGTGGACACAAGCATCTGTTCTGGGGTTAAACAGGTACACCCAGGTAAGAGAGATCATTGTCTGACCAGGGGTTTTTCTTTTTTATTCACAGCATTTTTGTGTAAATTTTGCCAAAGGTACAATTGTTTTTATTATTATTTCATTTTACAAATAAGAAAATTAAGGCTGAGGCCAGTCCAAGGGTACAGAGGTCACAGCAGGGAGGCAGGGCTCCCACCCCCTCCCAATCTGAGCCCTTTTGTTAAAGTGACTTGGGGACAGGTGTGTGTGTGTGTGTGGGGGGGGAGCTGTGAGTAGGGAGCCCCAGGACAAAGCAGAAGACTTGATCTAGAAAAACCAGCCCAGCCTGCAGGTGAACTGCCAGATCCGCAGGGATTCCTGGATTGGAGTGAGGGGAAGGCCACAGTGAGGGGGTTAGAATGGGTGGCTGGGGGCGCTGCTGGAGCATCTTGATTCGGAGGGAGACCAGTTTCAAAACCAGGCTGGAAGGACAGCAGCTTGAGCCCAGAGTTGAGGGCTCCCCACGGCCAGCTGGGAATCGAACTCCCAACATTCTGTGAACAGCCTGCGTGGAGGCTCGGAGGATGCACAAGGGCCAGGCCTGTCCTGGGTCACACAGGAGGCCGGCAGAGGCCCTGGGCGACCTGGCGTCGTGACACAGGCTCGAGCTGTCCCGTCAGACCCGGCAGCAGTGACAGGTGCAGAGTCTGGGTCAGAAAAACGGGGCTCCTCGTTTGATCTGACTTAGCAAACTACGTAACCCCCATTTCCTCACCTGGAGAATGGGGCGATGACATACTTGCCTCACATGCGGTTGAAGGCAGCACCCAGGAAGGGGTCACACCTGTGCACAGGTAGGCCCCATCCATGCGGGCTGCATCATGAAGACAAACATGGCCACACCTGGCAAAGGATGTTTGTGAAAACCGTCTCCTCCCGTGGCCAAGGACCTGGAGGCAGAAACTCTCAGGGCTCCTGGGTCTGAGGTCACCTCCTGGGGATACGCAGGCGGGGCAGGGCTCCCACAGGTGTGCAAACAGGACGGCCACCTGTTCCAGGCTCTCCTCCCAGGTGAGCCGACGGGCGGGGTTTGGCTCTGGTCCAGGTGGCAGCAGCTCACCTGGCCTCCCTGTCCACAGGCCGGGCAGGTCCCTCCGGGAAGTCCTTCCAATGTCAAGGGATAAAGCGACCGCAGGGCACTAGCTGATATTTGAGAGCGTTTCACTGTCCTCGGCCTTGAAGGAGGCCTTTCTTTCAAGTAGGACCAGCAGCCTGGTCCCTGATGCCCTGGAGAGGAAGTGTCTTTATTGGGCAGAGAGCGGCTTCGGCCTAGCCTGGGCCTCTGTTATCCTCTAGGAGAGGCTGGGTGGCCAGGAGACCCTCAGAAAGAGGACTGTCCCACCTTGCTCCTCGCAGACAGGGGGGTGTTCCCTGGGGCCCGCACAGCTCCCCCACCCCAAGCTGGCTCCAGTCCATGCACCCCCTTCCCACCCAAGTGCCCTGAGGGATCGATTTCCTGCTACAAAGGCCAGGTTCAAAGGCTGGAGCGGGAGGTTCTCACAGCTGCGGATCACCTGCGGGTGGCAGAGCCGCCTCATTCACTCTCCACCCTCCCCCGCCCGGGGGGAGGCGGGGGCTGGAACAAAAGGCCAGCTCCCTGCTCTGCCACAGCCTGTGGGCCTGAGCAGCCCAGTCCCAGTGGGGCGCAGAGAGGGGTGCATTTCTGGCCCCTTGCTCCAGGGAGGCAGACCGGGCTGAGGTTTGAACGGCCGGGCCGGGCGAGCTCTGCCTTCTTGGGCAGATCCCCCACCCCACTCCTCTTATGTGGATGGTTCTGGGGACCCCTCCTCCAACTCTGCAGGGGCTGGGCAGGGGTCCAGGGCCAGCAGCCCCGCCCTGCTCGCAGGCCCTGTGTGGGCGGCTGCTCGGTGAACCCCAGGGCTTGCCAGCCAGGGGCCACTCAGGCCGGCGGGGGCCCTTGCCACTGTCTCGTGTCGTTTGGGGCGGGCGTCGCTGTCTTTCTCTGATCTTTCCCTCAATGACTGTGACCTCCTTTCTGGAAGAGCGAGTGAGCAGGAAAGGTGGCCAACTAGCATCAGGCTGGATGCGCTTTGCCAGAGGCGGGATTCTCGGGAGGTAGTGAGCCCCCCGTCCCAGGAGGGGTTGCAGCAAAGCTGGTGAGCGCCTCTCATTGACGCTGCAGAGGGGCCTCACAGGCCCGGGCACTGGGGCTGCCCCATACCCTCCCCCACGGCGTCCCGCCCTGAAGCTCAAAGGCTTCGCTTGTGCCATCTGTCCTGGGGTTGATAGACCTGGAGCCTTTAGCACCAGGGCAACTCTTGGAAATAAAACCCCCAATCACTGCCACCTGGCCACTGAGCTTCCCGGACTCCGCACCCCAGACACTTGTGAGGCCAAGAACACCCCATGATGCCTCCTTTTCGGCACCCTGGACACCGCCTATGGCACCAGCCTTGCCACCAAGTCCATCACGCAGCCGGAGCTGATCAGGAAGCCCGTCACCCCCACCCCCGCATGGCTGGGGTCACCCTATCTACGGCCGGTGGTGGCCATGCTCATCACCAGCTCCCCGGATGAGGGTGTCACCTGCTGCCGAAGTTTCCTCCAACGGGCACTGGCCCAAGTGGGTGGCAGTGGCTTGGCCATCGGTGCTACCCAGCAGCCCTGGCTTATCGTTGGGGTCATCCTAATCCTCCTCATCACCAAAGTGCTGGGCCTCTGTGGTCTCAGGGTCACCCTCATCTGTGCCCAAAGCTGCAGATAGGATGTAAAGGCCACCCCTTCCCCATTCCAGAAGGAACAGCTTGGCGCACCCCGGCCAGCTGCTCCCAGGGTTGTAGATGTGCCATGTCCTCTGCCCACTGTCTGCTGCCCGGCCCTGCCCCCACCCGTGCCATGGACCTAGGGTGGCTGAGAGTGGTCATCTCTTCGCGGGTGTTTATACAGATTTGTCCTGTTCACACCAAGCTGCCCTCCGTCTCCGACCCTGCACTAGATTTAAGTAGAGGGTTGGGCTGTGGGGTAACTACTTGCCCTGAGACTCCTGGGGGGACCTACTTTCCTATACCGGGGCGGGGGACCCACCTCCTACACCCGGGGCTCTGGGCTGGGCCTCCAGGCCCCGGGCTCCTGAGCTCTTCTCAGATGTGACTGGAAAAAAAAGAAAAGGAAATAAAAGCCGTGAGTCCATGTATGCAGGGGGGGAAAAGCCCTAAAATGGGATGATGAAGGGTGGAGATGACAGTCTTAGAAAACGCTTTCAAAGCAAAAATTCCCAAAGCGGAGATGATTTCAGCCTCTCGACTTGAGTAACACAGCTGAGCGCCAATAAATCTCCCGTTTCTGGGATGAAGGGACAGGCGTTCCGCTCCATCTTCTGAGTGCTGCCTCACGGCGTTGGGGTGTCGAGGACAGAAGGTGACATCACCCCTGAAGATGACTGACCTTGGCCCATTCTAGGACCATGTTTTGAGTCTCTCCCGTTCAACTGGGGACTCGACCTCCCCGCGGGCCTGCCATGGGGCGGGGAGACGTGGGGAATCTGGTTGACCCCAAGCTGCCCTCCAGGTCTCGACCCCCAAGCTAGCAGACCTGGCTTTGTCTCTCCTTGTGCTGCTTGGGGGGATCCCCAAGTGCCCGCCCCCCACAGAGACAACGCAGCTCACACACCAAGCTATTAAAAATCTTTATTGTTAATTTCTTCTCTAACAGGTATATTTTTAGTTGAAATATGAAGCCACCGCAACACTTTCGCTTTTCTTCTTCAGAAGAGGAGACAGATCCAGCCTTTGTGGTTACAAGAGGGGGGCTGTGACCTTGACAAGGTCGGGCTGGGGCGGGAACACACGATCTGCGGGGACGTGGACTCCCGTGAGAGCTCCAGGTAGCAGGAGAGGGGCGGAGCAGCACGAGCCTCCACACCTGGTAACAGGTGCTTCCACCTGGGGGCTGGAGGGGTGGGCTGAGGAGTGTGTGTGAGTGTGAGGGTGTGCGTGTGTGCGCGCGTGTGTGTGCACATGCAGAGCCCCTCCCGGAGGAAGAGGCTCTCAGGCGCCTGCCGGGTCTCCTGGGGATCAATGGCCTCTGCTCATTCATGGTGACTTGGGCAGGGCCAGGGGCCGCGCGTGTGTGGAAGAGAATGTGGGTGTCCCAGCTGGGACCCTCAAGTCCTCCGTCTGGGGCAAGGCTCAGATGATGCTCAGAGCAGAGGGGGCCTGTCCACTGACCGTGGCGCCCAGCTCCATGCTGGCCATAGGCGCGAGGCCTGAGAAGGGGGACATTGGGTTGAGAGTCTTATCCAGGCCTGGGTGCCGGGGCAGGAAGGAAGAAGGAGCCTCGATCATCTGTTCCCCTCCGCCCGGGCTCATCAGGTCCTGTTCCTGCAAGAGGCAGGGAGGGGAGGGCAGGCGGGAAGACCTGGGGTTCCAAGAACACTGCTCTGCAGAGTGTTTCTGGGGGTCAGGCTGGAGGCCAGGGTTGGGGGCTGGCCTGGAAGGAGGACCAAGGCCCAGCTGGCGTCCTGGGGGCACTTTGTAAACAATGACGCTGCCCCTCCCAGGCTAGCTGGATAGAGACCCTGCAGAAGGCGGTCGGGGCCACAGGCCTGGAGCCAGAGACTCCGGCTGGCAGGACCCGCTGCCCAGGGCGGACACCACAGGCCCTCCTGGAGGTCAGGGGCTGGTGTGTGGACACAAATGCCTCTGGGGCCAAGCTGGGGCCTCTGAGTGGGTTCCGGCCTCCCGGGCAGAGGCCTCCGCTACACTGTGGGGTCCCACAGCTGGGAGCAGCTCCTGACCTTTACAGGAGCCCCAGGAGGCCTCAGGAAGTGGGATACGGAGGGGAAGGCTGCTCGCGAGCACCCCCTGCTCGGCCCAGCCAAGCGGGAGGGGCGGAGGGCACGGGAGCAATCCCAGCCAGGCCGCGGGAGGCCGTGGGGGTCACCGCGGGAGGCCCGTCACGGTCACCTCCAGGCTGGCATTCGGGGCAACACGTACCCTGGCTCTCGTGAGCCAGGTGCAGTCATCACAGCAAATGTGCCCTCCTGGGGGCCCCAGGGTCGAGCGGGACTGCAAGGAACAGAGTTGGGGAGCCCACGGAACCCCAAACACACTCTACTGAAAACCAATCAAATGCACAGAGCACGGGGCGGCCGCGACAGGCTGTGTAATAAACACCGCAGAGCGCACGTGGTTTTTCTCTCTTTTTTTCAAGTCAAGTGTAACAACCGGCGTCCCAGCCCCTGCGCTCAGCGTGCGAGAGAGAAGCCGTTGCTGCCAGCACCCCTGCGGCCAGTCCGAGACCCGTGCCCATCGCCTGCCCAGCAGCAGCCTTTTCCAGTTTCAGGGGCCAGCCGGGCCTCTTCACATCCCTAAAAAGTGACCTAAATGAAGCACCAGAGCTCGGGCAGCTTCCTGGGAAGCCACGTTCCGAGGCGCAAATTAAAAAAAAAAAAAAAAAGTCAGAAATAAAAATAAAAGGTTTCCATTGGTCAAGATTTAAAAATAAAAAGGTTTCTTCCTGCAGCCAATCGTGAGTCCATCCCTCCAAGCCCGCTGCGACCGCGCCACGGTGCCCCTCGGTGCCAGCCCCTCCGAGAGGCCGCGGGGGGTGGAAAGGTGAGGGGTGGGGGGGAGGGGAGGCGGGGCAAGGGGAGCTGCTGCCGCTCGGCGGGTGGGGTCCACGCAGATCTCGTGGCCCTTGCCAGCGTCCAGGGTGTGCCAAGGGGTTCGCCGCTACTGCCTCCGGTCCTCCGTCTCCGACCTGGAAAACGCCATCACCACGTCCTCTGCACCTGCGGGTCAGGGAGAGCGGACGCTGTGGGCCGGGCCCGGCGGCAAGTGCATCCACGGCAGCCTGGCGCCGTCGCGCGCCGAGCGCTTCTAGGAAGCCCTGGGCCCCCCTAGAGCCTGCCAGGGGGATGCCAACACCCTGCCGCAGGGCCGCCAGAAGAGAGGCTTGGGGTGGCTTAGGGGGCGCAGCTGAGAGGTGAGCAGGGGCGCAACGAGGCCTCCGGTCCTGGCAGGGCCCTGGCACCAAAGCCAGGGGCCCTTGGGAACCTTCCTTTGCCCTAGACTCGTCTTGATCCCTGGAGGCCCCTGCTTGTTATGATATTTAATAGCCACTCAGTCCTTCGCGCCACACCCAACACCTGCAGCACAGGCGGCTGGGCCCGGCCCGTGTCCAGCCCGCCGTGCCCGGGTCCCGCTGCCAGGAGGCCCATCACAGCCACCATTTCATTATTGTTGTTTCCACGCCCGGATCTGAGAGTCTGGTCCGGGCGATCAGGAAATCACTTCCTTTGTCTTGTTTTCCATAAGACAGACCGACACACAGCCAGCAAAGCTGGAGGGAGGAGGGAAAGAGTCAAAACCCCGGACCCCTCCCACCCCCAGCTGCTCAGGAAGGAAGGGGCTCACCAGGCCACCAGACCTTGCAGGGCAAGTGAGGTGACCCTCGGACCACACCCACCTCCTGGTCTAGCCCCGGCCCCTCCCCGGGTCCAGCTGTTTTCTCCCCACTTTCTCAGGGCCTAGTGGTGCCCTGAGCAGTAAGTCGGCTGCCTGCGGCCTTTCTGACACTTGTGCTCAGCTAATGGGGGCGGGGGGCGGGGGGGTAAGGGGATTCTCTAGGGGAAGAACTGGACCAGCAGACAGGAAAGGCCCCTGAGGGTGGGCTGGTATGGGGGTGCAGGAGGGAGCTTCTGGCACGGGAAAGGGAGTCGGGTGAGGACGGCATGACCCCCCACTCTTGGCCTGGTGTTGGCCATCTTCGTCGCCCCCACGGCAGCAGCCTCCTGTGGGCCTCCTTCCTCACCGCTCGGGCCCCGGAGAAGCGCAGGGCGCTGCGGGGGCCCAGCCCCAGGATGCTGAGGTGCTGCCCACACACCACCCTCCCTGGGGGTTCTGCTGTGACCACACAACTGCTAGTCCTCATAAGGTAAGTAAGCTTCTAGACAGGCGCTCAGATTTTTGGTTCCTTGGGATGGGGCTCCTTTGCTTGGGAAGCCCTACAAAAACCCCTCCCCTATCTTCTCAGGAACATTCTGTTCTCGCCTCAGTCCCAGGACCACGCAATTTCACTGCAGGCAGAATTTTCCTAGCAACCACAGAATCCAAGATTACATCATACCCTGCATGGCAGCCGGGCGGGTTACCTAACAGATGCTGGCTTTTCCCGAGCGCCACCTCCCCAGCCTGGCAAACGGGAGGGGCTGGTGGAGCCGTGCGAGGGGGCCGTTAGCAGACGCAGCCCACTGGTTTCTTTCCTCCCTGGCCCCGTGGGCTTTCTCACAGCGGCCTTGGGCCTCTGTACTGTGCTGCAGGCACAAAAATAGCACCAGCGGCCCCAGGAGGGATGTGAGGCTGCGGAGGGGAAGGCCGTTGGCTCTGCGGAGGAGCCTGCCCTGGGGACGTGGCCATGTGTGCACCTGCGCTGCTCCACTGCTCTGAAGGCGGGGAAGGAAATGACTCCTCAAGGTCACACGGGGACTCGGAGGACACCTATTCCACACAACACCTGAAGCAAAGCCTCTGCCAGCGTCCCACCTGTCCCGCACCACCGGCTGCTGGCTCGGTTCTGGGGGGGCCGAAGGCTGAGTCTCCCAGTTCAGAGCCCCGCATTGTGCTGCAGGAGCCGGTGTGGAAAGGGCCTGCAAGTGCCCTGCCGCCCTGCCTGTCCTGCCCCTAAAGGACTGTGCTGCTTTCCAGACCTCAGCACAGGGGTCTCCCAGAGCATTCTCTGACCCATCCTTGTGGGCAGGCCTGGCAGTCACATTCAACAGGGCAGGCCCGTGAGCCTGGCAGGCCCTGGCAAGGCTGCTGACTTCCCTCTCTTCTCCAGAAACACGTGCCAGTCATTGAACAGGAGGGAGAGCTGCTCGTTAGTTATGAGTCCACCACTGAGGGCTTTAGAGCCAGGGGTGACCTCAGAGGAGATCCCCAGGGTCCACACTTCTCCCTTATAGGCCACCATGTAATGGCTCTTTTGGGTGCTCTCAGTGTCCTGGAATCACCGGCTCAGAACAGAAGGAGGCTGCAAAAAAGCGGGCAGGTCCAGCCACGGCCTCCGGGCTGTGAGCTGGTTTCCCATCCTCTATTACAGACGACACCAGAGGTTCCTCTGCTGCAACTGTCTGACCTCTGACTCGAAGCTTCTACCAGCCCCTCCCCACCAGGTGCAGGTGACAGGAGAGGTTGGTCAGTCTCTCCTATTCCACACTCTCTGCCAGTCTATATTAAAATATAGAGTTAAAGCCAGATGAAGATACTGCAGACCACCATCTCCCAGTATCTCTTACAGATCTAATCATTAATCATACCTATGAGATGGAAAAATACTCCACAAAAACACTAGCAAACTGAATACAGTAACATGAAGAGAATTACATACAATAGTCCCTCCTTGTTCAACATTTCACTTTGTCGTTTCTTTCAGTCACCTGCAGTCAACCAGTCTGGAAATATATACCAAAGGTATTCTGACCACATTCATACAACCTTTATTACAGTATAATTGTTCTGTTTTATTATTAGTTATTGTTGTTATTCTATTTCTGTGCCTAATTTATGTAAACTTTATTGGGTCTCCCTGGTGGCCTAAGGGTTAAGTCTCAGCAGTATCACCACTACAACCTGAGTTCCATCCCCGGCCAGGGAGCTACCCACATGGCACAGCAGACCTCTCCTGTCTCCCCGCTGCTCCCCTCGGCAGTGTATTTCAGTAGATCCACCTGTTCTGCTCCCCACTCTGCCTCTGGGGAATCCTCTCACCCCCCGCATCTCTGGCCTGTACCCCAGTTCTTGTATGGATAAATAAATAAATATTTAAAAAGAGAGAGAGAATAAAGTGAAACTCATACTTTCAGCACAAACATACTACAAACTCCCAGTAAACGAGACTCAGTAGCACTGGTACAAAGGTAGGCGTATAGGTCAATGGAATAGAATTGAGAGTTCAGAAATGAATCCTCCTGTTTAGGGTCAACTAAATTTTCACAAAGGTACCAAGACAGCCGAATGGGGAAGAACTGAACACATGACGCGGGACAACCTTACACGGAAATGCTGAAGTGGACCCCTACCTCACACCATATGCAAAAATGAACTCAAAATGGAGCAATGATATAAAAGTTATAAACTTTCAGAGGAAAATATAGGAAGAAATCTGCCTGACCTTGAGCTAGGAAATGATTACTTAGACATGACACCCAAAGCACAAGAAACAGGAGAAAAACTGGGCTTGAACAAAGTTAAAAACTTTCATGCTTCACAGGCCGCCATAAGAAAAGTGAAAAGGCAACTTGCAGAATGGCAGAAAATATCTATAAGTCCTGCATCTGGCAAGACATTGGTATCTGGAATATACAAATAACACAACTCAATACCGAGAGAAAGTCAAGCACACCAATGTTTTCAATGGGCAAAGAACTTGAATATAGACATTTCTCTAAAGAGACAGGAATGGTCAGTGAGGACACGAGGAGGTCTGTCGTTATGGAAATGCAACTCAAAACTACAATGAGACTCCACTTCGCACCCACCAGGATGGCCAGAATCAACAAGACAATGACAAGAGTTAGCAAGGATGTGGACAACATGGAACCCTCCTCGGAGGGCTGACAAGCTGGACTGTCAGTCCTACAGCTCCCAGCCCACTGCACCATCAGTTTCCCCAGCTCCACCATCCTCTAGTCTAAACCCTCAGGGTCTCCCTGACCCGCTTCTCTCACACACACTCCTCATGCAACATGCCAGCAGATCCTGTTGACTCTACTTTTAAAACTGTCCTGAAGGAGTCACCTAACACGGCCCTCGTCCACTGCCCTCATGGACACCTTTTCCCTGATACCTGGCTCTGGTGCCTGATGGTCCACTCTCACACACCAGCCAGAAGGAAGTTTTTTAAAATGTAAGTCAGATTCTGTCCTTCCGTAACTCAAAACTCTCCAAAGGCTTCTTATTGCAAGATTTCTCATCACACGCAAAAGAAACTCCGCTAAATGCCACAGTGCAGCCGGCAAGGCCTAGCACGACCTGGCTCTGGTGCCTCTTGGTCTCTTTTTCCACATCCCTCAACCAGGGGCTTCAGGCTCAAGTCACTGGTGCCTCAGGACCTTTGCGCTTGCAGTTTCCTTGGCTTCAACACTCTCCCCCACTCCATCTTGCTCTTGGACTCACTCCATTCTCGAGAAAAACACCCCCGCACGCCACCACAACTCCTGAAGCAGATGGACAGCCCATGTCAACCTCGCACTGGCTGCAGTCGCCTCAGTAGCCTCAGCGGTACCCACAGAGTTAGGTCTTGATGGGGTATTTGTTTCTTGGTGATCAGGGACTTTGTCTTGTTCACTCACATATTCACACAACTCAAAACCGAGAGACAGCACCTGAGTAGGCTCCTGGGCCCAGGGCCTTGTGGTGCAGGTAAGGGACCTGGAACTCAGAAAGATGAGGGAGGCGGAGGGCCCAGAAAGACTCTCGGGTCCAGCCTGCATGACTATGCCCTTCTCAGGAGAAAGAAATAACTAACGAGCTCACCACACCCCAGGCCTGAGGCTGCTCAGGCCTCCAGGCAGACCTGGCCCAAACCTGCTGTCCCAGTGCGAAGAACCAAGGCCCAGGCTTTAAACCCCCACCAAAACAACCCTGGGGCCGGGGGGCTTATGGAAACTTCAACCTGGAGCCCAGGGCACTGACCTGGGAGAAGCCCTGGCACCAGCCTCCCAGGCCCCATGTTGTACCCTGACCTACTGCGCTGGCTCTCTGAACCCGGGCAGGATACCCAGCAGGCGGT